CGGGTCTCCCACACGGGTGCAGGTTCCCAAAGCTTTGGGCTGTCCTCGACTGCTTTCCCAGGCCACAGGCAGGGAGCTGGAAGGGAAGTGGGGCTGCCGGGATTAGAACCGGCGCCCATATGGGATCCCGGGCGTGCAAGGCGAGGACCTTTAACCTCTTGCGCCACCGCGCCGGGCCCAGTAAGCAATTCTTAGTTGACAGATGAGCCCAGGACACCTGCTGATCACCATGACAGGGCGTTAGGATCTTTCTTGGAAATGTGAATTGGTCAGTGACCCCGTGTCCCTGTCCCCCATGCCCTTCTGCTGACGCGGGAGGCTGGGGGACACTTTTTCAATTGCACCCTTCCCTGCAAGCTCAGGATACTGCTCTCTTGGATTCCAGAGCCTTTTTAGAGAATTGTGTCAGGTTACATAAGGGTTGGAGATGGGAGCACTCCAGGGAAATTCTGTCGGGAACAGGCGGTCTAGAACCTGCTTTCAAGTATTCGAAGAAAAATTTCAGCTGTCTCAGGCTTGCACACTTGTGAAGGAAGTCAGAAGAGCCTCCCAGCTTCTGCAGGCATTCTCGTTCCCCACAGAAATGAGCGAGAGTAAAAGGAAGGATTCCAGGCTTAAAGGAAATGCCAGGCTGCACCGAGCGCAGGCAGGGCTGGGGAGGTCAGGACCGTGTCACTGTTAAACAAAGAACGGGCTGCTGGGAGCCCCCTGGAAGCCCTCCGGAGCTCCCGATGACTTCTTTTCTTTAATTTAATTTAATTTTCTTCTCTTCTCTCCTCTCCTCTCCTCTCCTCTCCTCTCCTCTCCTCTTCTCTTCTCTTTTCTTTTCCCCTTTCTGCAGCAGAGGTAGCACAGGTGGTCAATAGAAGCTTTCCATTTTCCAAGAAACACGAATCAAAAATGGGATCGCCGGTAGGAAAGCTGAAAACCCTTTGGTTCCAAAGACTCTGGAGGGCACATTTGCCACACACCGTGACTCTAGTTTTGTTTGCCTCTGAGGAACATCCCTCTGACAGCTCTGTTGCATAAGGTCTGTTTCCAAACACGTTGTCCCCAGCTAGAGACATGCAGTTAGCTTAATCTGGGACTGAGAAGTTCTATACGGGTGACAACGTGTTCTGAGCTGCACTGCTTGGAGTCAGCAACGGGGAAAACTGCCTGGAGCCTCTCACCAAGGAAGCCTGAGGAGAATACTTTAAATACCAACAGGCACTTTTTTTTTTTTTAAAGCATAGACTGGTCATCAAGTCACTTAACAAGGCCAGGTAGGAAGAAATTAATGAAGAACATGACTTGAATATGGCCAATACAAATTTTTTGCAAGGGACATGGAATAAAACCGATTAATTCAGGAAAGTCCGTTTTTATACAAAAATAGTTTGACAAGTGGCTATTCGATTTACCAAAGACTTTGGGGATTGAGATGTAGTAGGTTAAACCTCTGCCTGTGGTGTTGGCATCCCATAGGGTGGCTGGTTTGTATCCTGATTGCTCCACTTCCATTCCATCTCCCTGCTTTGTGGCCTGGGAAAGCCAAGGAGGCTAGCCAAGTCTTTGTCCCTGCACCCACGTGTGAGGCCTGAAACCCTTTCATTCAATCCTCCTTTCTTTCATTCACCTTGCATTTATTGTTTACTAGGTGCCAGGCCCAGAGAAGCTACCATCAGCAACTTAACCCCTCCTTCCTTGGTGAGCTCCGTGTCTGGCTGGAGACATGGGCCTTTATGGATCTTTGCAGCACAGTCAAGGAACCAGACTGAAGAAACTGTAGAGAAAAGTCCTGGGGGTGCTGTGGGAGCCGGAGGTTGGGGACATGTGGGTCCTCTAAAGTCCTGAGCTCAGAGAAAGCTTCCCTGCAGGGAGTGCTCCCCTGGCGGTGGGGTCTCCCTGCAGGTTCGGTGGGTTCAGGCCCTGGGCAGTGCCTGCTCGGGAGTCTCCATGGTGGAGCCACGGAAGGTAGCCCGGGACGAAGGGAGGCGCCTCCTTCCAGGAAAGGAAGAGCAAGTAGCGGCTGGTGGGGCCTCCGGGGTCAGCGGCGGTCGGGGGGCGCTGCTTGAGAGGCTCCGGCGGTCTGCGGCGGCCGTGCTGCTTTTGGTTTCAATTTCATAGTGTAGGGCAGCGCTTCTCTCCGGGGAGCCGGGAGGTTCGGGAGGGATACCAGCAGGAGGAAGAAGAATCAAATTGGTGTGTTTAGGTATTGTTGGGGCGACAGCCAGGGCTTGATGGACAGTGTGTGTGTGTGTGTGTGTGTGTGATATGAGGATGTCAGGAGGTCTTGGCCAGAGAGTCCCCAGGTCACAGGGGCAAGCCAAGTGTCTGAGCTGAGTCATCCAGGACCTGCTGGAAAAGTTACCTGACCCCATGGAGGGCTCTAGAGGGCAGCAGCTAGGTTTGATTCTACTACCCAAAAAGCATCATTTCCTGCTAGTAAGAACAGGAAAGTCTAGATTATCTGTCCCAATAATTAGTCCCCTTGGAATATTGTCTGTGCGTGTTTTGTTTGTTTCTTAAACTAAGTATTTATTTATTTGATAGGTGGAGAGAGAGAGGAGGGAGAGAGAGAGAATGAATCGTCATCCATTGGTTTATCCCCCAGATGGCCACAGTGTCTGTAGCTGGACCAGTCTGAAGCCAGAGCTTCCTCCAGATCTCCCATAAGGGAGCATGGGCCCAAGGACTTGAGCCATCCTCTACTGCTTTCTCAGGCTATAAGCATGGAACTGGAATGGAAGTGGAGCGGATGGGACATGAACTGGCACCCAAATGGGATGCTGGTGTCCCAAGTGGGGGCTGAACCTACTGCACAAGTGGCAATTTAACCGCCTGGACCAGGACATTAGCACCCTGTCTGTGTGGCTATATGCATGGTCACCATTTCCGGCCTCACCACAGCCCTGATCAGGAATTGCTGGTCATTTCATATCTCAGCAAATTGAGATTTCAAGATGTTGAAGGAATTGACTGACGGTAGCAGGGCGTATTGGTCAACAGAGATGACAGGTTACAGGAAGACTGGGAGCGCAGTGGCTTTGCCTGAAGGCAGATGGGTGGCTGGTTCTGGCCCTGGGCAGGATGAGGCAGCTTGCTGGCCCGTGAATCTCCTAGGGCAGCTCCAAGCACATGTGTCAGCCCAGAATCTTCTCACGTGTGAATGTGCAAATCTTTTATCTGCTATCTGGGTTCTTCTCCCCTCAGCAGACCTACTGTTTGGGTTCCAGGCAATAGCTTTGAGCAGGGACAAGTTCTGCCCGTGGGCCTGACCTGTCCCAGAAAACCATATCTCACATCTCCCGTTTTCATAGACCTTGGGTGTTGTCTGGGGTGGGGAAGCTGGAACAGCAGTTCTGGGAGAGGGTTCCCTGTGGGAAAAGACCTGAGGATGAAAAGCTGCTTCAGATTCCAGAACAGATATGTCCTGGGAGGCAGATATGTCCCAGATCTAGAAGGTTCTGATCCTTCTCCCTGTGGAGATAGGTGGGACTCAGCCTGCACCTTGAATTCTGGGTCATCTTTGACTTGAAATTTTTCCATTCAGATAAGTTGAGGAGTCAGCTTGGTATTTTCTAAAGCTGGAGTAATCTTGGTATTTACTCCACAGTTTATTGGGCCCCAAAACAAGACTAAATCATCGAGTTAATAGCACAAGAACCTACGCTGACATGTTAACAGAGCAGGCGCTGGCCATGGGGCTCCTGTGGTATGTCTGGGACTTCTACACATTAGAGGCAAAATCAGTGGCTGCTTCCCGTCTGGGGACCTTGGAGATGCGATTGAATCACTTGCAGAGGATGAAAACTCCTCCCCTCTCTCCAGAAACTTCAAGCTGTGGGAGAATTCATTCTGAGTATCCCCAGGGAGAAAGGGTGGTTGGCTTGGGAGAGCCCTCAGTTGGGGGGGGGAGAGAAGCTGCAGGGGAGGGGCATGGACAGTGGATGGGGTTCCCTGGCAGCCCCAGTGGGGGATCGGATGAAGGTTTAGCAGGTGGGCTCCCGGACAGCCCAATTCTGAAGTCCTTGTGGGCTGGAGTGGGGGCTCTTCCTGCGGCCTGGAGGTTTCTTGCTTGGAGGCAATAATGGTATCCTGGGAGCCCCTGGGTAAGACAGTTTCTCATTGGGCCAGCGTTGTGGAGGATTCCAATAGGATTTTTGTGTGATTTTATTATTATTATTATTATTTTAATTGGAAAGTCAGATGTACAGAGAGGAGGAGAGACAGAGAGGAAGGTCTTCCATCCATTGATTCACTCCCCAAGTGGCTGCAACAACCGGAGCTTAGCCACCTGAAGCCAGGAGCCAGGAGCCTCCTCTGGGTCTCCCACACAGGTGCAGGGTCCCAAGGCCTTGGGCCATCCTTGACTGCTTTTCCAGGCCACAAGCAGGGAGCTGGGTGGGAAGTGGAGCTGCTGATGGGATTAGAACTGGCACCCACATGGGATCCCGGTGCGTTCAGGATGAGGACGTTAGCCACTAGGCCACCGCGCTGGGCCCATGACTGATTTTTGTAAATCTGTCTCCCCTTGACCCATTACCTTCTTGAAGAACAAGGAGCTCAATATATTTTTTCTTAGAATTCCCAGGGCCTAGCACCTAGTCTTCCTACAGCCTGCCTGTTAATCAATTAATGAATCGGTTAATCAAGCAGTCTGAGTGGTGATCTGAGGGAAACCAGATGGCAAGCTTAGAATTTCAAGAAGGGGAGAAATCCGCTTTTCTAGGAGAAAGTTAAAAAACAAAAAAACAAAAAAACAACGTAGGGGCTTAGTCAGGCTGGCGCGTCAAGGATGGGGGCGTTTCACAAGCCCCGCCCCGCGCTGGGGTCCTCCCGCCAAGTGAGGCGGCGCGGTTTGGCCACTGTGCGGCGCCGTAGCCCGCGCCGTTGCCAGGGGAACGGGCCCGCGCCGGACGAGGCCCAGCCCGCCTCGGTCTGGACCAGCCTTCCAACCCAGCCCGCCGAGCTGGAGCCCGAGGACTTGTCCACCCAACCTCTGTCCGGAATGGGACCCCACGCCGGGGCGCGCCACTTGCTGGTCCTGGGGACCGTCTGTGCCACCCCGGCCTGAGCCGCGGCCTCCTTGGGAGGAGTCGGCGGCCAGGCGTGGGGTCCGAACCACCGGGCTGACCTTGACCCGGCCGATCTGGCGCGGCCGCCGTGATGCGCAGGTGAGGAGCCCCGCTGCGTTTGTCCTCTGGGAACCTGGCCTGAGCTGCCAGTCGCGTGGCTGCTGGCGCCTGGGCTGGGCCTGGAACCTGGCACTCCAGGAGGGTTTCCGTGCAGCGCGGGGCTTCCTTCTAGCAGCGCCGAGCGCCTACTGTGTGCCAGGCTCTCATAACAGGTGCTGGGCCACGGAGAACTCTACTGATGCTGCTGGGCTCCCAAAGCCACTGAGCGTTCAGGAGGGGTGGGGCGCAGGTGCCGGTGCACGACTGAGAGTGACTCCAGGTGGGGTTAGGTGTCCTGGTGAGGAGATGGGGACGGTGGGAGGCAAGGCCTTCACTGCAAGGTGACTTCGAAGCTGACACCTCCAGGCTAGAAAGGAGCCAGCGGCGTGAGCAGAAGAGGAAAGGAAGTATGGAGAGGACGAGAGTTCCAGAGCCCCCCCCAACCCTCCCCGCGAAGGCCAGGGTTAGGAGTGGTGAGGGGGGGTGTGTTTCAACCTTATCCCAGCAGGTGAAGGAAATCACTGAAGGATTTTGATGATTTAGAAGTATGGACAAACCTCACTGACTGCCATGGGCTGTGATATAGTGGGATAAGCCTGCGCCTATGGTGTCAGCATCCCATAAGGTCACTGATTTGTATCTCGACTGCTCCACTTCCGATCTAGCTCCTTGCTTTGTGGCCTGGGAAGGCAGTGGAGGATGGCCAAGTGACAAGCACACACAGGGGAGACACAGGGGGAGGAGACGGCACTGTCTCCGTTGTGCCAGCCTGAGCACGAACCTCATCGCTGAGCCTCCATGACCTCCTCTGTGGAAAGGGAATGCTATGTGTGTTGCTTGTCAGAGGGCCAGTGAGGGCCAGCCACCTCCGAGACCAGTGACCAGAGAGACCCTTGAGATGTCGCCAAGTTGGAAGGGATAGTCGTTATCCCAGAGTGCTTTTGGAGGGGTGAGTCGCTGAATTCCGCAAGAGCTGGCTGGTCAGGCAGTGCTGTGGCAGGGCGATGCGGGAGGCAGCAGCAGAGACAAGCAGGCTGGAGGGTGGTCCCTGGGCTTTGGGGGCACTGGGGGTTCTCTGTGGGAGATGAGATTTGTAAACAGATAATCACCCTTAAGATGCAGTAACAGCAGTGGCTTAATTAGCCAGGGTTGTTTTGTTTTTCCCCTTTCATTTTTGTTTTTGTTTTTCTTAGTTTGTTCTGTCCCAACTTTGTTCTTAATGACTGTTTCTGAGTGGGTGTTCCCCAGGGCTTGCTCCTGCAGTCCTAGGAGTTGATTTCCTGGCTAACATCAACAACCATTGCCCCCTTGGAGTGTCTTGTAGTTCTGTTCTGTGCAGGCGGCTCCCTCTTTCTCGTCCCCTCTCTTTGGCGTCCCAGACAGTGGAGAAGGGCCGGTGGAGAAGGGCACAGAAAATGTTTGCAGACATTGTCAACTCAGGAATGATGGAGGTCTCAAGCTTTTCTCACCGTAGCAACAGACTTGGTGCATATTGTTTACAGCCGAGAGAGGGAGGGCCCAGCCAACGCCCGACCGGAGTGACCAGGCCTTGGGAACAGCTTGATGTGCCAGTTTGTTTTCTGGGGTTGGGGAGTGGGAGTGGGAAAGATAATGGTATGTGCATCTAGTAGCTGAATGATTGCCCCTGCTTAGGGAGCCTGGTGCCATAATGTAGTGGTTAAAGTGCTTGCCTTGAATGCGCTGGGATCCCATATGGATGCCGCTTCTAATCCTGGAGGCTCTGCAGTAGAGGACAGCCTAAAGCTTTGGGACCCTGCACCCGCATGGGAGACCCTGGCTTCGAATTGGCTCAGCTCCAGCTGGTGTGGCCGCTTGGGGGGTGAACCATTGGATGGAAGATCTTCTATATCTCTCCTCCTCTTTGTATATCTGCCTTACCAATAAAAATAAATAAATATTTTTAAAAAGAATTTTAAGATCAGGAAAATACAACAACAAAAAATAATTTTAGGACTAGAAATTTCTGTGGTACCTCTGAGGGAAGTTTTACTAACCAAACACTTTGTCAGATCTGATTTTTTAAAATTAAAGATTTATTTTTATGAAAAGCAAATTTACGGAGAAAAGGAGGGGACACAGAGAAAGATCTTGCTTCTGCTGGTTCGCTTTCCAAGCCAGGAGCCAGGAGCTTTTTCTGGGTCTTTCACACAGGCAGAGGGTCCCAAGGCTATGGGCCATCCTCCGTTGCTTTCCCAGACCACAAGCAGGGAGTTGGATGGGAAGTGGATTAGCCAGGATATAAACCGGTGTCCATATGGGATCTTGGCGGATGCAAGATGAGGAATTTAAACACTAGGTTATCACATGTGCCCCATAAATGATTTTTTGCACTGTGAAACAATGTGTACCATGAAGTTTTTTTTTTTTTTTTAAATGTATTTACTTTTCTTGGAAAGGTAGATATACAGAGAGAAAGATCTTCCGTCCTCGGGTTCATTCCTCAAGTGGCTGCAATGGTTGGAGTTGAGCTGATCCAAAGCCAAGAGCCAGGAGCTTCTTCCAGATCTCCTGTGTAGGAGCAGGGTCCCAAAGTTTTGGGCCATCCTTGACTGTGCCCCCCACAAATGCATTAGGGGTACATGAGCATCCTCTAGTACCAGGAGGATGAGGGGTGACATCTGCCCACAGTTAGGATGTGACATACTGCTTTTATGATGTAACATCCTTTCCCCTTTCCCGAAAGCAATTACCCATGATCAAAAAAAAAATAATAATAATAATAAAGAATGAGCAATTTCAAAGTTTCCCCCTCAGACATTGGGGTGCTGCCCCATGTTTTCTTTCTTGCGTTTCCTTCCAAAGCGTCCATGTCTGTTCGGTCCCTTTGTATCTGCCCCATAGTTCCCTCTGCAACTGTACATCTTGCTCTTCTACTTCACCGTTTACTCAAGATCAACCTGGGCCCTTGATGTTTTTAGCCCACCATACAGATGGGCCACAGTTGTTGGTTTCTGTCCTGTGGTATTACGAATAGCACCACATTGGATTCTGTGAGTTTACACATGAAATAGATACCTAGAAATGGAGTGTTTGAGTCAAGGGGTTTATATGTTCTAGTGTGGGACATTGCCAGTTTGTCATCCAGCCTGCTTTTTAGAAAGACAGGGACCCAGAGGCAGTTGATCTATGGAATCTGCCCCAGGTTCCGGCAACGTAGGAACCAGAAACAGGCTGTCTCTGGGCCTGCCCTTTCACTGGCTCCAGCCTGCCTCTTCTCATTGGTGGCTCAAGATGCCAGGCCTGTCTGCTTGTCTCTGATGAAGCACCCTACCCTTCTAGCCTTCTTCCTTCCTCCCTCCCTCCCTCCCTCCCCTCCTTCCTCCCTCCCTCCCTCCCTCCCTCCCTCCCTCCCTCCCTCCCTCCCTTCCTTCCTTCCTTCCTTCCTTCCTTCCTTCCTTCCTTCCTTCCTTCCTTCCACAGCGCCAGTATCCCATATGGGCGTTAGTTTGAGTCTTGCCTGCTCCACTTCTAATCCAGGTCCCTGCTAGTGCATCTGAGAAAGCAGCGGAGGATGGCCCCAGGACTTGTTCCCCTGCACCCAAAGAAGAAGCCCCTGGCTGCTCCTGACTCTTGATCAGGCCAGCTCTGGCTATTGTGGCCATTTGGGGAAGTGAACCAGCCACTGGAACATCTCTTTTTTTCTCTCTTTCTGTCTCTCCTCTCTGCTCACCCCCTCCAAAAAATACACACACACACACACACACACACTTTTTAAAAAAAGATTTATTTATTTATTGAAAAGTCAGATATACAGAGAGGAGGAGAGACAGAGAGGAAGATCTGTCCAATAATTCACTCCCCAAGTGAGTGCAACAGCCAGTGCTGAGCTGATCCGAAGCCAGGATCCAGGAACTTCTTCTGGGTATCCCACACAGGTGCAGGGTCCCAAGGCCTTGGGCTGTCCTCAACTGCTTTCCCAGGCCAAAGCAGGGAGCTAGATGGGAAGTGGAGCTGCCAGGATTAGAACCGGCGCCCATATGGGATCATGGCGTGTTCAAGGCGAGGATTTTAGCTGCTAGGCCACACTGCCGGGCCCCCCACACACACTTTTTAAAAGAAAACTACCTCAAGCAATGCTGTTGCTTTGGACACAACCATCCAAGGCTCTGAGAAGCAGTAGCCTTGGGAGGACAAAGCTGAGAGCTGTCCAAGGGCCATTGTAGCAGGTGCCACTGAGTTGGCACTTGGGGCTGAGGATTCACCTTCTGGGTTGCATCCAGAGGATAACACTCATGCCCCTCATCAGGCTGGTGCCAAGCTGAGAACCAAACCCAGAACTGTGAGCCCCCAAGCCCTGGCTCCTTGTCTCCATGGCAGCTTCCTGTGAGCGCCTGGGAGAAGACCAAGGTCATCCCACTTGGCTTTGAAAAGGTGACTACAGACAATGCCTGACCTGGCTGGCAGGCAGCACTGGGCCTGTGGTGGGCACAAGGACAGGGTGGCTAAGAGTGAACGTCTCGGATCATGCTCTCTATTCAGTGGACGAAGCTGGTGCAGGGAATTGTTTGCAGTTGCGTCATGGGGTGAAGTGGGTGCTGGATGGGAGGACTGAAGGCAGGGCAGGGAGGGCCTCGTGGCCTTGGTAGAATCTAGATTTCGCACCACTCACTGTACTCCTGTTTCCTTTGGTTTCAGATGTTTTCAAGTCAGCAAACATTTACTGAGCGACTCTTGTGTGCAAGGTACAGTTCTGGGTACATGGGGAACTGTTGCGGTCCCCCCTCATCACAGTGCTGGAGGCGCCAAGGAAGACTTTCAGGAGGAGGAGACTCTGAAGATCGAATTTCATTTTCTTGGGATGAGAAGTGAAATAGGCATTCCAGGCTGCTGTGCAAGGGGTGTGTGTGTGTGTGTCACACCCTTGTCACTTAGATTCCTGGCCCACAGGTCAGGGCCTCTGGCAGGAAAGTCTAGCTACCAGGGTTTTGTCCGCAGCCCCCGGCATGCCCTCCAAGGGTCAAGAGCCACCCGCATGGGCTCTGCTTCCCCCTTAGACTCAGCCGTTCCTGGTCTAGGGGCTCTTCTTCTTGGCCTGCCCCTGCTGGCAGTGACTGTGTCTTTGGCTCCAGAAAAGCTGTTAGACTGCAGGAGGGCAGGTTGGGGAGGAGAGGCCTGGTTCCATCTGGAGGGTTTGGCTCTGGCTGAGGCCTGGCCTATCCTTGAGCTCCCTCCAGTGTCATCAACCCACGCTTCCGGGTTCACGGACCCTGAGCCTGTGTGTCACAGTGAGCAGGGTTTCTTGGATTTCTCCTCTCTCTGCTCTCTCTGTGGCTGGCTCCTCCCCAGTCAGGAAGCCCCAGGCAATGGTGAGGAGGGGGGGGCGGGGACAGGGACGGTGAGGCAGTTCTGATCCCCTGGTCTCAAAGGGATCACGGGCCTGTGCAGGGGCAGCGTCCACATCCCCCACCCCACTCTGAGCACTCCATTCTGTTTCTCCCAGCAGAGGATGCGGGGGCCCTTCTCCAGCATTGGCGCTTGGACCTCCGCACGGGGGTGACTAATGCTGACAGAATCAGCCTGTGTTCTCATCACTCTGGCCCCAGCCTGATATTGTTACCAGATGAGAACATGTCTTATTGGGTTTAGCTCTGATGATGGTGGAGACAGAGCACTTTGAGTAATGGGCAGCCACGCCATGTCCTGAGCAAACCCTGGGCTCTTCTGTCAAGTCCTGGGGTCAAGGCTCACATTGGGGCACTGGGACAGTCTTCCCCTGCCACCCTGTTCCCATTGTCTCTCTGTGCCATGCAAAGTCTCCCCACACCCTCCACCCACAGGCTTCCCCACAGAGGAGCTGGGAAATGGCTTGACATCCCAGCCTGCTCCACGCATAGCTAAAACCTGGCTCCAGCTCAGGCTGCCACAGGCTAATGTTCTCTCTGCTCCTTCCTCCTCCGGAGATGACCATTTGCAACAGACCCTCCAACAAAACAGCCCCCGAGAAGAGCGTGTGGACTGCACCCACACAGGCCAGCCCGGAGCTGCAGGGCCAGCGGTCCCGTAGGAATGGGTGGAGCTGGCCTCCTCACCCGCTCCAGATTGTGGCCTGGCTGCTGTACCTCTTCTTCGCTGTGATCGGCTTTGGGGTTCTGGTCCCCCTTCTGCCTCACCACTGGATGCCTGCTGGCTATGCTGTATCCTTGGGAAAGGTTGGGACTGGGGCAGGGAAGTGGGCGGTGGGATTGTGGGTAGACAAATAGACATGTCAGAGGCTTAGCGTGGGGGCCAGAGCCTTGGGAGTGCCGGGTAAGGCAGAAGAGATCCTGGGTACCCACTGGACCCCTGGCCCACCCTTCAGCCTCTTTCTGGCCCCATTCTTCTGACCGGGTGAGTGGACAGATGAAAAACATTGTAGAACAAGCCTTTTGAGCCTGCACAGATGGGAGGTCCCCGAGAATTGTCTTAGCAAAGGACAGCCTTAAACCCATCATAAGCTGATGGTGTCCAGAGCTAAACAAAGGGAAAATTAGGGAGTAATTATTTCACTTACAAAAGAATTTTTCACTTTTCAGAAACAGTCATGGTAGAATTGTTTTACATCATAAGTTTCCTGGCACATTTCAAGTGTGGTTTTATTTACAGACAGATTATTAGTCTGTGCCCAGAACTGTTTATGAGCTCATTGATTCTGTAAAATAGGGCCCTTTTAGGGGAAGCTGAACATGAGAACAGGGCTGGATAGGTCCTGGAGGCTCCTGGGTCTAGCAACACATGCAGACTTTGCCTGAGCTTTGTAGTATGTCTGCCCTGGCTCTGACGACAGTCCCTAAGAGCAGGGATATGGCTGCAAGTCTAGGAGCTTGGGGTGCCACAGGCATCTATGTGCCCAACCAAGTGAGCATTATGATTGGGAAAAAGGATCCCCAGGGAAAGGAGGGCTGGGCTGGTGTGAGCTCGGGGTGATCAGCAGGGAGGAGCCTGAGAGGTGGGAGCACAGAGGCAGCAGCCCTGCCTAGAACCGCTCGGCATCATAGGGCCTTTGGGGCTGAGCAGTTGCTGCCCAGCCTCCTCCTCTGTTGGTAGAAAGGGCCCAAGCAGCATGCTAAGATGCATAGGAACACCACAACATGTGTGCCACAAACAAGAACTTGCCCTCTTGTCAAGCCTGGGGCAGATGACAAGGGTGTGGACATGGAAGGGACTTGTGAGGAGGCTGTTCCTGGAGGCCAATGATGTCACTGCAGGTTTCTTGGTTCCCAGGAGCCAGGGCTTGCTTATAAGCTCTATTGATAGAAAACTAGACCCTCGGGCCCAGCGCGGTGGCCAGTGGCTAGGGTCCTTACCTTGAACGTGCTGGGATTTTGGGCGCCAGTTCTAATCCTGGCAGCTCCACTTCCCATCCAGCTCCCTGCTTGTAGCCTGGGAAAGCAGTTGAGCACAGTCCAAAGCTTTGGGACCCTGCACCGGTGTGGGAGACCCAGAAGAAGTTCCTGGATCTTGACTTCGGATCAGCTCAGCTCTGGCCGTTGCGCTCACTGGTGAAGCGAATTATTGGATGAAAGATCTTCCTCTCTGTCTCTCCTCCACTCTGTATATCTGACTTAGTAATAAAAATAAATAAATCTTTAAAAAAAGAAAGAAAACTAGACCCTCCCTGAGTTGGCCAGCAAGCCTAAGTGGTTTGTTTTTAAAGATTTATTAATTTTAAAACAGAAAAAAAGACAAAAAAGATGTATTAACTTTTATTGGAAAGGCAAATTTATAGAGAGACAGAGTGACAGAGAGAGATCTTTCATTTGCTGGTTCATTCCCCAAATGGCTGCAATGACCTGAGCTGGGCCAATTTGAAGTCAGGAGGTTGGAGCTTCTTCTGAGTCTCCCACATAGTTACAGAGTCCCAAGGCTTTGGGCCATCCTCTGCTGCTTTCCCAGGCTGTAAGCAGGGAGCTGAATCAGAAGTAGAGAAGCCAGGACTCGAACTGATGTCTTTATGGGATGCTGGTGCAGCAGACAGAGGATTAGACTGATATGACACTGTGTCAGCCCCTTCTTATTTGTGTTAAAGGCAGAGTGATAAAAAGCGAGGTGGGTAGAGAGAAAGAGATATCTTCCATCCATTGGTTTACTCCCCAGATGGCTGCAATAGCCAATACAAGGCTAGCCTAAAGCTAGGAGTCTGGGACTCCACTGGGGTCTCCCATGTAGTTGGGCCATCCTCTGCTGCTTTTCCAGGAGTACGAGCAGAGGGCTGGATTGAAGGCAGGACTTGAACTGGTGCTCTGAATGGGATGCCAATGTTACAACAACGTTGCAAGTGGCTGAGGTGCAAGGCTGGCCCTTACTGGTGACCTTTTACACTCAGATATAGTAGAGTTGTCATCATACTCTTCTGCAGTGGCTGCATTACTGAACAGATCAGTCTGTGAAGAACTGCATTTCAGTGCAGCGTTAAACCTGTTATTTCATCCCAGACAGTGGGTCCAGGGCTTCAAGTGCCTGCACCCCAGTCAGGGAGGTAGCAAGTGGAAGAACCTCTCTCTGGAAATGCTTCTCCAGCAGTTGTGGCTGCCCCTCTCAGAGCCAACTTCTCGTGAAGCAAGAAAAATAAGCTCCAAACTTAAACCTGAGGTCTCTGAACCTTAGGGAATGTCCCCTTTCAGTCTTACTTCAGTATTTGGAAAACCACCAGAAAGTGGCTTGAGGTGAGACTAGCCAGGGCCCTGTGGTTGGGCCACTAAGTGGCGGCAGCAGATGGTCCCAGCCATGAACTCCTTTGCTATGTGGTCCCTCTCTTCCCTCTGGGCACAGGGGTCTGCTGAAAGAGGGCTGCTGAGGAAGCCCTTGGGGACTCCTATTAGGAGGTGGTATAGGCAGAGTCTGCGGGGTTGCGGGGTGAAGTCCTCAGGTGGGGACCTCAGCTTGCAGAGTGTAAAGTGAGTCTTTAACCTGCTGGGCCAGTGCATGGGGGCCATCTTTGTTGGCCACCTGTTGGTGCATCTCACTGCCGTCTCCATAGACCCAGCAGATGCTAATGTGCGGGACAAGAGCTACTCGGGGCCCCTGCCCATCTTCAACCGCAGCCAGCACGCGCACGTCATTGAAGACCTGCACTGCAACTTGTGCGATGTGGATGTGTGAGTGCCCGTGTGTGGGTGTGACTGCATGGCTGTTTGGGGGCCATAAGGGTGTCAGCAAAACCACCTGAGGAGCAGGGAAGATGGGAGCATGCCATGTGCCATTCATCCTGAATCAGAGCTCCTGGTTCTCACCCAGTGGAGATTGTGGGTGCCCAAGAAGGCGAGGAGAAAGTGATTGAAAGCAGAAGAGGAGGAGTTGTGTTTCCAGTGGCTAACTCTGCCAGTGACACCCCTGGGTGCTTGTGAGCATCCTTAGGCAGTGCTGGGAGGGAAGGCAGAGCTTGCATACTTGAGCCTGTGCTAAGCACTGGGTTCGAGCACCATGCATGTGGACAGCCCAACCCCAGAAAGGCTGAGAAGCCTGCCTGAAGTCACACAGTGACTGAACAGCAAAGTCAGAGGCATGGCGCTGGCTGCCTGACCCCACCCCCACCCCCAGCGTACTCTGCAGGCTTCCTTAACCCATGAGAATTCTGAGGCCCTGAGAGGCCCAGGCACCTGCTGCAGCTCACACTGCTGGGGGTCAGACGGGGGAGGGATCAGAGTGAGAAGTGCTTAATCTCCTTGGCTAATTCCCACAGCCTCTGCCCCTACTCCTCCATCTGGAGACACCCCCTCCGCCTTTGGCTCCTAGCCTGAGGCGGGGATCAGGAGTGGGAGTGTGGTGCAGCTTCAGACCTCTAAGGCAAAGACATGTGCAGTGTGTTGTAAGGGCTCTGGCCACAGGAACGAGAGAACGCCCAGCATGCAGGCACCAAAGACTTGGGCTTGAGCTGTTGCCTGTATGTGCACTTGGCAGCGATTGCTCTGACAGTGACTATCCATCCCCAGCTCTGTGTTGTCTTTGTCCCCTCCTCTGCCTCCCCAGGATGCGGGGCGGTTATCTTGCTCATATTGTACTGGGGGCTAACCCCCTGCAGTGCTGCATCTCCCCTCCTCCCCTCCCCGCAGGGCTGTGTGCTCATTTTTGGCTTGCTCCCATTAGCCCACTCAGTACCTCAGCACGATTCCTACAGGATACAGGGAGGCAGGGACCTGGAAAATGGGGATGTCAGAAAGATCAGTGCAGGTCCACACCAGCCTCTTTGTGCAAGAAAAAACCCTTTTCTCATCTGATGTGGCCATCACGTAGTGCTCAGTCCAGAGAAGGTGTCAGAAAAGGTGCCACTCCACGCCCCATCTCTGCCCTCCCCTTGGGTCTGTAGTCCTTGGGAAGCATGGCCTCCTGCAAGGACCATTACTTGCAATGTCGCTAGAGGGCGTGCGTGCTCCTGGCCTCGCATCACTACCAGGCAGAGACACCTGGTGGGTACGTGGCCCGGCCTGGTGCTGTGGTTCCTCAAGGGGAAGTCGCTGGCAGGCCCAGGCTGCTGGGCCACGATGGGCTGGCCTGCGAGGGGCAACATGAGGGACCAATGGCTTTGCACCTCCCCCACGCAGGAGCGCTCGCTCCAAGCACTGCAGCGCCTGCAACAAGTGTGTGTGTGGCTTCGACCATCACTGCAAATGGCTTAACAACTGCGTGGGTGAAAGGAACTACCGGTGAGAGCAGACCTGGGGTGAGCGGTGGACGTGCTTGGAGGGCTGGGTGCTGCTCAGGCACATGGATGCTCTCAAGCTCCAGGAGTTGGGTGTGGGGCTTGCCCCTTGCTGGCCCAGAGAAGCCAGGAGTCCAAAGGCCACAGGTCTTCAGGGTTGTCCTGCACGTTGGGCTGCGGAGGAGGCGGGACTGCTGGGTCAGAGGTCTCCCCTGCATCCCAGCTTTGGGCGCTTCTAAGCTCCTGGCCCTTACCAAGCTGGAGGGCCCAGGCGCTGATAGCTGCCCGTGGCTGGGCCCAGGCTCTTTCTACACAGTGTCATATCCGCTTTACTGGGTGTTCTGCTCCTGGTGCTGGTGGCCACTTATGTCTTTGTGGAGTTCTTTGTCAACCCCATGCGGCTGCGTACCCACCCACACTTTGAAGGTCAGTTGGGGCTCCAGGCCCACTCCCACTCCTATTGTGCGCCTGTTCTGATCTCTGGGCCAGGCCCTGACTGAGTACACGGCCTGTGCTTGCAGTGGTGAAGAACCAAACTGATGTGTGGTTTGTGTTCCTGCCTGCTGTGCCCCTGGAGACCAGGGCTTCTGCCATCCTCGCGCTGACCGCCCTCCTCATCCTCCTGGGCCTGCTCTCCACAGCCCTGCTCGGCCATCTGCTCTGCTTCCACATCTATCTCAGTAAGTGTCTCCCTGACAGCAGCATGGCAAACAGGGGCCGCTTACCTGTCAGGGGTGGTGGGGCTGCAGAGCCTGGATACCACACCTTTTCCTGGGAACCTGGTCTCAGGGAGTGTGGGGACAGCAGTCTCCACTGAGAAGTTGGTGGCCACCCAGCTCCTCTGAGCTCTGTCGCACTGAGTCCTCTCCTCCCCCCTCTGCCCACCGCCAGTATGGCACAAGCTTACCACCTATGAGTACATCGTGCGGCATCGCCCACCGCAGGAGTCAAAGGAGGCCCACCGGGAGCTTGAGTTGTGTCCCCCCAAGATGCGGCCCATTCAGGTATCGAGGTGGCCCCTGGAGGGTTGGGGGTGGGGTGGGAGATCGGCCTGGAGGTGGGGGTGGTGGGGAGTGGACTGTGCCACAGCCAGCCAATGAGGAGACAAAGGAAAGGCAAGCATCACTGAGTCATGGCTGGACCAGGGGATGCTGGGAACAGGGGCAGGGTGAATCTGGCTTGCGTACTTGTTCACCTACTGAGTCAGCTGGGCACAGCCAGCCTTAGGGCCTGATGGACATGACTGTCCAGGCTCCATGCATGTGCCAGAGGGGGCGGGATGTGGGAGCCTGGACACAGGCAGGATGGGGCTGCTGCAGAAAGGAGTGGGATAGACCAAGGGCTGGAGCTGAAGCTGTGGGGGGACAAGAGGGAGCCATCTGCTTTCCCCATGCCTATATATGTCATCCTCTTATCCTCAGTGTAGCCCACAGGGCAGGTGCTGTTGCCCCACCAGTGTTGCAGATGAGCATGTTGAGGCCTAGGAAGGTTAGACAGAAGAAAGATGTGGAAATAGTTCAGGTCTCCTCACTCAGCTACAGGAATCCTCCAGCCCAGGCTTCAGGCTGGCCAGCCCAGCTGCTACCCAGCCTAGCCCCTTCCCATGCCCCTAATTTCCTGAGGTCAGCAGCTGGAGATGGGGTGGTCCAGGGCTCAGAGGCCCCTGGGACTAGGAAGTCAGGGGGCCCAGGCCAAGCCCTGAATCTTCATGGCAACAACACAAACACAGGCTGGTGGGCGGGTTGGAGGGGGGGCTTGGGACCCCACTTGTCCTATTCTCATTGCCAGAGTGAGGCTCTGCTCTAGGTCAGCCTCGGGGGTGGTGTGTGCTGGACTCCCTGTCCTGGAGTGGGCCATAACCCAGTGTCAACGCAGTGGGGGCCCTCCTAGGGAGGCTGGCAGTGCTCCCATTGCCCTGTGGAGAGATAGGCCAGGGTCTCTCTAGGCATCAAGGCCAGAGCCCCCCTGGAGGGGGCATAGACTGCAGGCTTTGTGTCGCTGTCATGCTTAGGCTATGGGCCAAGGGTGGCAGCAGCAAGGACATTGGGCTTCTGTTGTGTCCGTTTGCAGGGAGGCCTACCCAGGGCCCGTTTACAGAGCAGAACTGAGGCAGAGGTATAGCTCCAAGGGACAGCTGTAATGAGAGCAGGAGTGTCTGGAGTGGGCCTCCCTAGTGACTAGGGCTCCGGCTAGGGCTTGGCCCCATGGGCTTTAAGACCATTCTCTACTGCTGCTCTCTCTGTGCCCCACCCTTTGAGGTCCTGGGAACTGGGGTAGACTTTGGCCCTCTACTGGGCCAGCGAAAGATGCTGAGTGAACAAGAGTAAAAAGTTGGGGGGAGGGTTACCTTGAGGTGCAGGTCATTATGCCTTGTTTTTGACCTCTGACCCCAGGCAGAGGTCAGGCCAGCATCTCCACCCCCTTCCCCAAGGCTCTGCCAGGGTCTCTGCACCTGTACAGCCGGCCTGCTGTGGCTGGGCCCCGTTCCCAGGTCTGCCAGAGCCCCAGCAGGCAGCTTCCCCACCCCCACCCCGAGCAGGAATGCGGGAGGGGCCCCTTTCTGGAGCCGTTGCCCCCAAACATAGGCTTGTTTTAGAGACGGCGTTGCTGTTACAGTGTCTTCTCTGCATTAGTCAGGACGCCTTGGTCTCCATGGAAGCGACTGCTGGGCCAGTGACAACTGTCGGGGTGTTGCCTCTCTCCTTCCCTGCCGCCAGGGGCGGGGCCTTGCCGCCCAAGCCACGCCCACATCCTCCGCACCACGCCCTTCCCTGCTGGCTCTGTTCTGCCTTTTGTTTCCTCACCTGCCGCCCTGGTGGGCGTGCCTGGGGTGCACCCTCCTTGTTGGGGTGCAGGCCTAGGCCGCGAGGTGACCTCCCAGGTCCCTTTATTTTCGGGGCTTGCAATTAAACAAGACGCAACTCGCTCATAAATAAGCCTAGTCCCTGTTGCCAGCTGTGGCGCTGTGGGTGCCACCTTCCTTTTCCCGCTAGCGGCCCTTCCCCGCAGCTCGGGGTTAGGGTTATCGTTGGGTGCTCTTTGAGCATGAGGGGCACGCCCCGACTCAGCTTCTAGGAGCCGGCCAGTCTGGGGCCACCATCTGGGGCACACCCTCGGACCTCCCGGCCAGGGTACAAACTGGTTCAAACGCTGGAGCCCTGGGAGGGGCTAGGAGAAGGAGCGGGCGCCCTGAGTGGCCCTTGCCTTGCCCTGAGCTGAGCAGCTGTGAGCGCCTGTCCTGCTCGGGTGTGTTCCAAACTTGGGGAGCTGAGCCTTCCTGGAGGTGAGGGAATTAGACTGGATGTAGTGGGGACCTGCGGAGCAATAAGGTTTCTTAGCCCACAGAGAGACTTTGGGAATCGCATAGATGGATGGCCTTGGACAGCTGGGTGGGGCCTGTAACCTCCCTCAGGGGCCAGTGCACCCCTGGGCTGGCACATGACCCAGGAGGCTCCAGATGCATTCCTGACCTTGCAGCCTCCCTGACCCCTGCCTTCCACAGGAGATGGAGTTCTATATGCAGACCTTCAGCCATGCGCGCCCAGAGCCCCCAAGCCAAGCCAGGCCAGTGGCAGTGAATGCCAAGTGAGTGTGATCTGGGCATCTCCCACTAGCATGGCAGGGCCACCCAAGGTGGGAGAAAGCATGGGTCAAGGCCCAGACCTGGGTCTGGGTACAGCTCAGGAATGACTCAGATGGGTCAGCCCAGGGCCCTCTGCCAAGTAGAGAAGCTTGCATCAGGACCCCCAGCACAAAGGACTTTGGGGGACAGCCCCCCTGTGCTTAACCTTCTGCTACCCTCTCAGTCCTGCCCCATTTCTTACCACCAGGGGCCAAGGAGAGCCTCCACTGCCCTCCTCCCCAGACACTCTGGCCTTGCCTCCCAGGATCTGCCCCCAGGTAGGGAATACAGCTGGGCCCCCTTGGACACAATGGGAGAGGGCTTGGAAAAGGGCCGTTATCCTCCTGCACAACTCCACCTCCACCAATTTGAAGACTAAGCTGCCCTTAGACTTCCTCTGTTTCCATAGAAAAAGAAGAAGCGGCGCATGTATAAGGTACCGATGTCAGAGATCCTGAACTGGGAGGTGGCTTCGCTGCCCAGGCTGCGGGGTAAGCACCCGTGCATGTCCAGGTCCTCCCTAGCAAGCTCCAAGGAAAAGCAAGGCAGAAGTCGGAGCAAGCTGCAGCCCTCTGTCTCTTGTTTTTCCTCACCATGCAGGGTCCCGGAACACTGAGCACCATTCCGGCTCACTGAGTGATTCCACAAGAGCCAGTCCGAGGCCCACTGTTGGCCCTGCAGGCACCGACCAGTTGGCGTGGGCCGAGTCCCTGGATGAGATTCCAGTGGCACAGACACGCCTGGGCAGTGCTGCTCTGGCTACCCCTGGGGGCAGGGCTCGGGAGCCAGGGCTGGCGCTGCAGACGCGGGCTCCCGCTGTGTGTGTCAGCCCTTGGAGTGGTGAACTCAAGGCTCCAGATGCCCAGGACAGTGGCCTTAAGTAGCTGGACAGATAAGCCAGAGGGCCAAGGAGTAGCGGCCGGCCCAACTCTCTATGCAACACCCCACGCTTGCAGTCCCCAGTGCACTTTAGGAGTCCCCATGGCTGGCGGGATCGGCCTCCTTCCCCTACCACTCAGCAATACCTGCCCACCGGCTGTGATGCTCCAATAAATGTTTTTTTAATGCTTTTGCGAACTTGGTGTTTACTTTCTTTTAAAAAAAGATTTATTTTTTAAAAAAAGATTTATTTATTTTTAAAGACAATCTTTAAAAAAATTTTATTTCTTTATTTGTTTTTAAAATATATTTTACTAGTAGTATCCACTTTCCTGTAGCCCTTGAACCTTCTTACCCTAATTAACTATGTAAAGAATGTCAAAATAAAAATTTATAAATAAAAAAAAAGAAGCCTATGGGGCTTATGGGACACTATCAAAGAAAATAACATATATAAAAATAAATATAAAAAATACAATAAAAAATAATAAAAAAAATATTTTGACAACCTTTACATAGTTAATTAGGGTAAAAAGGGTTAAGGGCTACAGGAAAGTGGGTAAGACTATTATTTTTTCCAAATTGTTTCCTTCATGTTTAAAGGGGGTATTAAGGGAAAAGGCCCACCCAATTTCCCACCCTCCCCAGGTCCCAGATGTAGGGTATGCTCTGAGGTTCTTTTTTTTTTTTTTAATTTTTTTTAAAGATTTATTTTTATTATTTTTTTTATTGGAAAGGCGGATATACAGAGAGGAGATACAGAGAGGAAGATCTTCCGTCTGATGATTCACTCCCCAAGTGAGCGCAATAGCCAATGCTATGCTGATCCGAAGCCAGGAGCCTCTTCCGGGTCTCCCACGCGGGTGCAGGGTCCCAAGGCTTTGGGCTGTCCTGGGCCACAGGCAGGGAGCTGGAAGGGAAGTGGGGCTTCCGGGATTAGAACCAGCACCCATATGGGATCCTGGGCGTGCAAGGCGAGGACTCAACCACTTGCGCCACCGTGCGGGCCCTGAGGTTCTTATTCAAGTGGTTTTGATATTTCAACAGTTATGAATCGCTGCCAATCTTGCCACTCCAAGCATGATGGGGTCCTTGAGGATTCCACTGATTGACATAGTCTATAGAGTCTCTGTTTGCCCCGTGCCAAGATATAGCTGGGATGGTTGGTTGACTTGTTCTGTCTTCTCTCTTTTCTTGGTTAGGGTTCTGAGTCCAGCATGTTGATTTGGGAGATCTCCAATGAAACTTTGTCTGAGGTGTTTCCGGACCAGATTCTCGCATGTACTAGCAAGTACAGGGCCAGGCACAGTCCATCGCCCCGGTCAGCTGTATTTTTTTTTATTGGAAAGTCAGATTTACAAAGAGAAAGATCCTCCGTCTATTGGTTCACTCCTCAAGTGGCTGCAAAGGAACTGATCAAAGCCAGAAGCCAGGAGCTTCTTCCAGGTCTCCCATATGAGTGCAGGATCCCAAGACTTTGGGCCACTACTTTCCCAGGCCACAGGCAGGGAGCTGGATGGGAAATAGAGCAGCTGGGATATGATCCCAGTGTGTGCAAGGTAAAGACTTCAGCCACTGGGCTGTGGTGCTGGGCCTGGTGTTTACTTTAAGCAAGGATGGCATTCCCAGTTGGTCTAGAGGCAGAGGCCAAGGTGGGTTCCCAAACCGTGGTGGCTACTTGTCAGACAGTGGTATGTGTGGACCTGAAGCGCCCTGGGTGCGGGACTCGTGGTTAAAAGATCTGAAGAGGCAGTCTGGCAGTTGCTGTTATTATGATTACTGAACACTGGATTTGTCCTTGGAGATGGCCGTGGAAGGGGAAGTGGGAAGACTTTGGGTTCAGAAGGACAAGGTGGGAATAAAAGCAAGGGGACCGATCCCAGGGGACCAGGAGCTTTTCTTGGCGTCGGGCCTCCTTGTGGGAGTGCAAAATTCCACGACTGAGCAAACGCTGTGCACTCATCCAACCCTCCCTCCTCCAGAGAACGCGGGAGACGTCGCCAGCTGCAGCCCCTTGTCATTACAGAAACGCACCTTGCTCTGTCCCTCACCCCCTCGCCTACGCTCCAGCTCCCAGGCTGCCCCAATTTGGCGCTCTGGGAAGCTGGATTCGCCCAGGAGGGAGAGAACTTTTTGAGCAGAGCCCAGGTTGGGAGGCTGATAGCCCGTCGGGGGGGACTTCCGAGGACTTCTGCCCAGACCCGCAGAGGACCAGCTCTCATGCTGCAAAGATCGCGAGGCTGCCGGGGAGGAGCGGAATAAGACCGATGGTGTAGCTTTGCCGGCTCCCAGCCACAGCACGCAGGCGGGGTCTGGTGGGCGGAGCCAGCGTGACCTTGGTCACTCTCCCGCCGAGACAGCCTCGGGGGTGGGACTCGCCGTCTCTAAGGAGACCGAGAAACAGGGGATAATACGGAGGAGCCGCCCGGGCTGCAGTCCCGCCTGGGAGCCTGCAGGGAGCGAAGCTGCGGAGCAGCCTGGTGCCCCGCATCCGTGGGTCCCTTCCTGCGTCCTTCGGTCCATCTGAACGCGCGCTACAGGAGCAGCCAAGAGGTAGAAGCCGGTAGGAGACTGGGACGCCGATCACTCTAATCAATATCCTGCACAATGAGGAAGGGGGTGGATGGGAGTGGTCTGGAAAGGGTCCTCAACCCCCCTCCCCCGTACCAAGATGAGGACATTAGCTGAGCGGCCCTGCCTGGCCCAACCGTTCCACTTTCTAGCCCCAACCTCCTTGCCTCGCTGATTGATGACTCCAGCTGTCCCAGCGGGAGCCGGCGGTGGCCCAGTTCATGGGCGTGGTGCCTGCATCCAGGGCCTGCAGGTCAGGCTCCACCTGAGCAGCTGGGAAACTCCCCAGAATTCATCTTCCCGCAGACAAGAGTTTGTGCTGCAGGCAGGAGGCTCCCAGTCTCTTGGGACAGGTGCCCAGTGGTGCCCAAATCCCCCTTGAATTAAGTGCAGGTCTTTAGGTCTCTGGTGGTAGGGTGCATCTTGAGAGGGCAAAGGGGGAGCCTATTACAGACCCAGGGTTTGGTTCCTAGAGGCCCTGAAATGTAGCAGCTTTGGGTACTCATGCTCCCAGAGCTCACTAGGGTAGGTGGGTGGGGGGATGATTTCTAGTGTTCAGATCAGCAGTAGTGGGAGTGGGGAGCTGGGCATGGGCTCATGCTGTGGCCCCTGGAGGCTCTAGTATAAAAGGTGGAGCTAGAGGATGGTTGTTGGGACTGAAGTGTATTTAGGGGGTTGCAGTGCAGAGAGGGGTGTGGGCCAGCAGGGCTGGGGTGGTCTCAGTGTGGAAATCTGGGGTACCAGTGTATGGACAGGGACACTCAGGGGCTTTAATGCCAGACAAGAGTGTGGTGAGAGGCAGTGGGAATGTGGACAAAGGGGGCTGAAGGTGTGGTCCTGGGTCTTGATAAAGGTGGTGGGCAAAGGGGGCTGCAAGCATGGGTCTCAGGAGAGCTGCAGGTGTTTGTATCCACTTCCATTCTCTAGGTGGGAGGGGTGTGGATGAGGCCTCCGCAACGCAGGGCAAAGGGTGTGGTCATGGCAGCAAAGCTGTGTTCTGGGGAGGGCGTGGCCCAGGGGACCGCAGTGGAGGCTGTGTATATGGGAGGCACTTTTGTGCAGTGCTGAGGCTATTACTGTAGGAGGCCATCTTAGCAGTGAAGGGGTAGAGGATGGTAGAGATCTGAGCCCCAGGTTTCTGGGGTGAGTCTGGAAGAGGTTGTAGTAGTACAGGTTAGGGTGTGGTCACGACTCCATCGCCCAGGGGCTGGAGGACAGGGGCTGGGTGCATATGCATATGGGAAGGCAGACCAGTATTTTGGCCATCCTCAGGGCATGGCGAGGGTGGCCTCTATGGAAGATGAGGCACAGACAAGGCAGATGTGCCTCAGTGGATGGAGGGTCACAGGGCCACAGCCCCACTTACTATGTGTCAATGGCTGAAAATTTGGGAGCCCCATGCAGAGGGAGCCCCCAGTGTCCTGCTCCTACACGCTGCAGACTGGGGGGGGGGGGTTTTAGTCCCACTAGGTGACCAAGGGCCAGGAAGATGGTGGTGCCCCGGGCACAGGGAGTGTTCCTGTGCCCCACCCATGGGTCCCTGTTCCCCAGCTTAGCCCAGCCTGGCCCAGCCCAGCAGTTCTGGGAGCTTCTCCCTGCGCCGCCCTGACACCAGCCTGCCCTTAGCAACCTTCTGCAAGCAGCACCACCCTCCCATAGCAACTGTCTCCAGGCTTCACAAACTGTGGCCAGGCCAGCACCGAGCTCTTGCTCCCCCTCATGTTTTTGTTTAATAGCAAATAGTAACAAGGTCCCGGTTGGGCCAGCTGCACCCTTGCCTGGGGCATGCACCATTGCCCATGTTCTGGCTCCTTTCTCAAGCCCAGGGCTGGCTCTTGCTGGGTCTTCACAACCCTTCCAATGACACTGTCCTCACTGAATACATGCCCAGCCAGCAGCCCATACCAGCCCTGACTCTGCTCCACTATCCATGTGCAGCTTCCAGTTGGGCTGGGCCAGTGCAGGGGGACCTGCCTAGCCACCCTCGCCTCCATGCAGGCAGGCCCTGTGCCAAGACCAAACAAAGCCATTTCCCCAGCTGCTGCCTTCACAGCTTTTCTGGACAGTGCCATTCTGTTCCTGGTCTGATGTGGGCATCATGACTCCATCTTCTGTGGCCTTCTCAGAGCCAGGCCGGACACAAAGCAGTAGGCAGGACCTACTCTCTGTGGGCTCTGCCAGAACCCAGCCGAGTTGGGACAGGGAGTGCCCAGCTCCAGGCCTGAAGCTCTGAGGGTCCATGGTATGCATGCAGCCAGCTTGTAGGGTGGAGGAGATGGGGATTTTTTGTGGCTTGGGACAGTGCAGCTTGGCCGGGAAGTGACAGAGGTGGACCCCTGCAGGGTGGCATGGCGACGAGCACAGATGTCGCAGGGCTGGAGGAGAGCTTCCGCAAGTTTGCCATCCATGGCGATCCTAAGGCCAGCGGGCATGAGATGAATGGCAAGAACTGGGCCAAGCTGTGCAAGGACTGCAAGGTGGCCGACGGGAAGGCTGTGACAGGCACTGATGTTGACATCGTCTTCTCCAAAGTCAAGTGAGCCCCCAGCAGCCCCTGTTTCTCAGATCCCTCGA